CCTACCTCAACACTCCTCTCTTCGTCATCATGCGATCCGACAGCCCCTACTCCATTTCCCCCTCACCCCCGTCCAACGATATGGTGGACACTCGCGCACTAGGAACTGCGCATCGCCCTCTCACCCCCTTGCCCAACTTTCCATTCCTCGGTTTTCTTCCACGTCTTCATCATAAGCGCGGCGTTCGGTTTCGGCATGGTATTCATGGCGTTACGCCTGCAACGGGCTTTCACGCCTAGGGTTCGGTCACGGTTAGGACGGCATCTACACTGCATAGGAACGGAGTTCTTGAATCATCTTTTCATCATGCGTGGCATGGCTACTTTGGGCTTGCAATTGGCGGCGCAGTGGCTGCATGTGAATGGCCGTAGACTAGGGAATGCATGAATTACACATCTAAGTCTCATCATGATATCCCTACTTTAATTCTCGCTGTCTCAAAATGCCCCGTCGACCGTTCTCTGTACCGTGACACTTGCTGCCACATTTCCTCCTCGACCCGACCACGTCTTCTGCTACTTCTATTTCGCCCAGCTAGGCTTTATGGTCTTGATGACGGGCTCGACGGATTCACGCCACTCGTTATCCTTCAAATCCTGAGAATTCGCATCCGGACTCATTCCCATACAACCATCTTTACTGCATCGGTGGTTCCAGTGGCTAACAGCCTGATCACAAATACATTGCCAAACGGTTTCTCTGGGAAACTCGCAAAACTCCCCGTTGCATTTGTCTTGGTTTTTGGAGATTTTCTTGCCGCAATAAGTCTGGGCGCCGGGGCATAAGTATTCAATTTCAGGTGCCATCCACTTGCAGGCTTTGTATTCGCTTGTAGATGTCGATGCGTCGCCTTCAGTTTGAGGCATGTTTCTGTCGTACGAAGGCTGTGGTGATATTGGATATTTGACACGCGTAATTCGACACCGCGTTGAATCGATGGTTTTTCTGGAGATGGAGGGGGGTTCTCCTGAGAGAGTTTGCAATGCGGTTTGTCTTGCACGAGGGTTGAGTGTGAACTATGGCTTGTTGTAGAGTGTAGGAATGTTTTTCTGTGCGCATAGCAAATAAATAGTGGTCATGAGTCGCGAAGTATGAGTCCCCAAAAGTATAGAAGGATGAGTCTGGACACTCTGTCAGGCGACATGGCTTCAATGGCGTTCAGCTTGTGACTATATCGACTCATCATAGCTATGTTTGTCCAAAAGCTACCATGCTATGCCCATAGCCTTTCTGATTCTCTTCATAGTGCTCTCAGCGATTTTCTCTGCTCGTTGTGCACCTTCTTCTGCATGCTCTATGAGCTCCTTCTGATCTCCGCCCATCAATTCTTGATAACATTCTCTTGTATCCTTGATGCCGAGATCAACGGTATCGGCGACCTTCTCTTTTAGAGCCCGCATGCTGAGATTTTTCAAGTCATTCGCTAGATCTTCCGGCGACGCAGCGAGCGACTCATCGAAATGATACAATAGGTCCACAAGGTTTGACACACCCGGTCTCGTTTCGCGGTCATAACTCACTCCCTCGATGGAGTCTGTCAGTGCCGTCTTCAACTTGGCATGTATTTCCTCTCTTGAGTCTGTTATCAAGATACGACTCTTTGGTTTCGGGTCGCTCTTGCTCATCTTTTTTGTGGGCTCAGTCAAACTCATGACTCGTTTTGCAGGACTCAGAAGTGTTTGTGGAACAGTCAACAGAGGCTGTGACTCCGAGTAGACGTGGTTAAAGCCAGAAGCCAGCTCGCGCGTAAACTCAAGATGCTGCGCTTGGTCTTCACCGACTGGGACGTGGGTCGTGTTGTAGAGGAGGATGTCGGCGGCTTGTAGGACCGGGTACGAAAAGAGGCCGAGTTTGAGGGCGTCTTTGTTGTTGGAGGGGTCGAGAGGGGATGCATTGGATGGGAGGGAGAGCTTGCTCTAAGACAGTGTCAACATTATGCCTCCTAGGTCTACTTCTGCGGTTGTATACCTTCCACTGGGTCATTCGTCCCAAATACCCCATGCTTGCACCACAGTTCAGGATCCACATCAACTCTGCATGCTGCTTCACGCTACTTTGCGCAAAGATGATGCATCTCTTCGGATCAAGTCCTACTGCCAGCAGACTAGCCAGCATCTCTTTCCGCCATCTTGCCAACTCGCTCGGATCTTGTTTTATCGTAATCGCGTGCAAATCGACTATTGAGAAAAGAAGCGTTGTATCCAGAGATGCCTCATCTTGCAGCTTGACCCATTGCCGCAGTGCGCCGAGATAGTTTCCAAGATGCGGTACGCCGGTGGGCTGGATCCCCGAGAATATCACCTGCTTCTGGTTCTTGCCGGCATTCTGTCTCGCTGGCGAGGCGATGGAGTACTTGCGCAGGCAGCCTGAGCACACACGAAAAGGCGAGGGTGCTGCACGCTGCAGCGGTCGAAGTGAAAACATTGAAGTCAGGTCGTTGTATCAAAATCGGAATCGCGGTTGCTCAGCCACCAGAAAGCGCGGCCGGGGTCTTGTAGCGTCGTCATTGTGGCACTGCCGCCCGCCAACAACCACTCGACTGCGCCCAACCACGGCCTCCTTCTCCATTCACGCTACTCTCCCCACAACACCACGACTACCACCCACGATCCCAAGCCTCACACACCTCACTATACATACCGTCGCCCGGAAGTAGAGGGACTACAGCGCAATCATGTCTTGGACCGGTAAGGAGCCCCTCGACGATGATCCAGGAAGCCGCCGGCTCACCAGACGCAGGGTTCAAGAAAGGCGTCAATCGCGCGACGACGCAGGTTCTTATGAAGACTGGCCAAGTCGAGCGCACAAATGACCGCGACTTCGAGACTGAGCAGCGGTACGCTCTCCAATCCATCAGATGCATCCTTCATACAAGAATAAGGCATCCCACCGTAGTACCACGACTAACATGACGCCAGCCGGTACCGTACTATGGAGACCGCCGCGAACAAGCTGCAAAAGGAAGCAAAGGGCTACCTCGACTCTCTGCGCGCCATGACCGCCTCACAAATGCGCATCGCCGAAACCATCGACGCCTTCTACGGCGACGCGGGCACCAAAGACGGCGTGTCGCGCTCCTACAAACAAGCCGTTACCGACCTAGACGCCGAGACGATAAAAGCCCTCGATGGCCCCTACCGAACAACCGTTCTAGACCCCATCCAGCGATTCTGCTCTTACTTCCCCGACATCAACGCCTGCATCACAAAGCGCGAACACAAGCAAATGGACTACGACCGCATGCGCGCGCAAGTTCGGAAGCTCACCGACAAGCCTGACAAGGATGTCACCAAGCTACCGCGCGCTGAGAAGGATGAACAACTCGCCAAGGCCGCGTACGATCAACTCAACGATACCCTCACAACTGAGCTGCCCCAGCTCATCGACCTGCGAGTACCATACCTAGACCCCAGTTTCGAGGCGCTGGTCAAGATTCAGTTGAGGTTCTGTGCGGAAGCCTACTCAAGAATGGCGCAAGTGCAGCAGTATCTGGATGCGAACACAAGAGATCAGTATGCACAGGGCGAGCTGGATGCGCGGGTGGAAGAGGTGCTGCAGGAGATTCGGGACTTGAGTATTGCGGGCACTGTCTAAGAGCTGGAAAGGAGAACATGTTTTTCCTGTATCGTACATGGTAATTTCTGTGGCGTCAGACTCGTTGGTTTTGCGGCATTGGTTGGGTTGCGTAAGGACAGACGATGGAGTTCAGCAGTGCCTCCACCTCCCTGTAACCATCGACTTTATAAGGCGCTCGATTTCATGATGATTCGTTTACCTCCACTGCGTCATGCCGCACTGACATGCAAAATGAACTGAGTCTTCAGACTTACTCTTCGTGACAGGAAACGCCAACAGGTTACGGTGAAATGGTTTTGTTCAACGTAACTTTTCTGACTCAGAGTCATTGGGTCCCCGTCTAGAGCCAGTAAAAGAGTCAGTCTCTGCCACAGACGTGTCTCACTCCATTCCTTCCTCTTATGACAGCTTCGTTGACACATATTGGTAATATAAATTGTCTGCCGGATTGGTCTTCTGATTGGTATTCTACACACATCCACCGCACCAATCTCATTGGTGCAATATCCTCATTTGGTATCACGCAATCTACTCTTTCAATGGCCCGCTACAGTGAACCAGAATATCAGGAGGATCGCTGGAATGAAAGACCAAGATTGTTGCGATCGCCTCCACCCAGAGAATATCTACCGCATCGACAAGGGAGATATTCCTCCCCTTCACGAGAAGCAAGCCGGATGCGATCACAAGAAAGATATTCAACGTCCCCACGATACAGATATTCACCGCCCTCGTCCGAAGATCATCCACCGTCCTCACGAGAGAGATATCGATCGCCACAGTCACCGAGATCCAATATCGGAGACCCGATTTCAAAAGATGAAGCTTTCGATTGTGTCGACTGTCCAGCCCTATTTAAAGAAGATAAAGTAGAGACGACTTACATGGGGCCTGGTGACCAAAAATGTACCACATGTGACCGGCCCAAGAAGTGGAAATACTGGAGATGCACGACATGTCGGTGGACTTGGCGAACGACAACGCTCAGATGTGAAACGGGGGCTGGGAAAGGAAGCCGGCTGCAGTGTGAGGGACTCAGCCCCGAAACCCCCTGGTTTCTGCTCTTTGCGGAGATGAGAGACGAACGCAATGCACTGGCTAAGCAAGTCGCAGAGTTGGCGGGGAAGGAGTACAAGCCCAAGAACTTTGAGCGCGAGCTGGAGGATCTGGGTATTGTTGAGAAAGATGGAGATTTTGGCGAAGAGGAAAAGTTGCTGTTGCAGTGGAGGGACTGACCGTTCTGCCGTCTAAACATCAAACGTCATAGCATGAAGGTTCAGGAGGAGGGGAAGGTGAAGCAGATTGTTATAATGTAGAGACTAGATCTTGTGCAAAAATGCACTTAGTATTGCACCGCAAATACGGCCACAAGCCATTTGTGCGTTCAGCTGATTGCACCTGCTGTGACGCTTTTGAAGCTACATTCAAGACTGGGTTTCTCCGGTCTTATTACAAGTCTCTGCGATGAACTTGATATCCTTAAACACCTTGGTGAACGGCTCGAGATGACCCTTGAACACATGTGACGCGTCAACTTCAGGCTCCTGAACACCTTCCGAAAGATCCACACTGACGTCCTTCTCCCAGCCATTCGCATAACGACTCTTCTCCCTCTTGACGCTCACTTTGACACTCCTACCATCCACCTCCTTGACTTTGCCAGCAATTCGAAAGCAGCACCCGCTGCTCGGTTCGACAGTCTCCGGATCCTTGAGAACGTCGAGACTCTTAGGCCAGCCCGTGGGAGGGGAAGACCCGGTACCGAGACTTCCACTGAAGCGATAGTGCCCGTATACTAGAGGCTTCAGATTCTCTGCCCACACCGTGTCCTGACCGGTAATTGCAACGTTAACTTCAGTGCTCAGAGGAGATTCCCACGGCCAACCACATGGCAGTATCTTAAAAGGATCGAAGTCCGAGCCACCCATTCCGAAGTCTGTAAAACTCCGCTCGACGCGTATGACCGTGGCAGTGAACGCTATGTGTATCGGACTTAGTCTCTTGGTGAAATGAGAATCGTCCAGCGCCTCTGCGAAGTCTTCGAGTTTGACAGTAGGTGCGCTTTAATGAGACGCGCTGACAACGGCACCATCGGTCGCTTCCCAGAACCTGCAGCTACTGCTCCTTTCGTTCATTTTCATCATGCCTTGATTCGGAACCATGGCCTCGTATTCGTATATACTGGGACCACCTGGCTGGTCGTTGTCCAGAAGTCGTTCTAAGCTTGAGTTTCGTTCCAACCAGGATTTCGGTAGGTCGCGCAGACCAGCTCTCAGGGCAGGATTGTTCTTAAGTATATCGTTCCGACCCGTCATTCCCTTGAAGACGATGAAGTCTTCGATATAATCATAGTCTTCATCGTATGCTTCTTGTATTGTCTTGCCTTTAAATTTACCGAAGGTGAAACGGTAGGGGCCGCGGCTCTTGGGTGCTGCGCGCGTCTGCGTACGTCGCTTCTTTGAGGACTCGGCATTGGAGGATGCGGCTGGTTGTCGCTGTCGCTTGACGCCGGAGCTCATCGTGGGTATCAGAAGAAGTCGTTCGCTTGAATACGAGATCGCAGAAAGGCAAGAGGAGAATTTTGCAGCATTAAGTTCGGACCTGGAGAAGAATAGTCAAGCGCTACAAGCGAGGGAATCTCGATCGCATAACACGGTATGCATATGAAATTGTGCCGCAACTTAAGTAAGGGTACGCGGCTCGAAGTTACGCGCAACGCGTCGGCGATGTAGAGCACCTGCACGACGCGTGGCTAAACCACAAACAGTGATACGCCCTGGAGAAAGCAAATGGAAAACGAAGTCGCCAAGGAGCTTTTGGTCAATACTTGAAGACACTACCGCGGCACGATGTGAGGGTCGAGCGAAGAATGCGACTAGTCGTCCTCCCATGTGCACGGCTGTGACAGCCGTTTGAAAGTGGGGGCTGACATGGCCCGAGCGTGTGCTGCAAGGATCCCTGAACGTGTCACGGTGATTACCATTCTACCTGCGTCACCTACCTTCCACTCGTAAATTGCATGTCGTCCCTCAATGTGCGACACTTCGAATGGAAATTCCGCGCTGTAATCGATGATGCTTCGTGCTGTCGTTGTAGCTATCGCCTCAGTGTGCTTGCGAGACCATCAAACAAGTCGCAGACACCAGCCCCAGCTATTTGCTCTGGTGTTTGAACAATGAAGACATGATGGAAACGAGGATCGACCTAGCCGGTGGCTTCAGAGCTTTATCGAACGACTTTCTCAACTCGCAGTCTAGTTCCCTGCGCGAAGCCATGCGGAAGAGGGGGATTCATCCCCATGACATCGCGGACGCTCTCATGGTAGAGGGACAAGATGATCACGGGAACTTTTGGAACATCACAAAATGGGACAGGGTTATCGCACAAAACGTAGGCCCTGAGTTTGACCAAGTCAACATAGGAGGCCCACTGCCGACCACGATAATGTTCACCGGCACCATCGTCAGAGTAGAGCAATGTTGGGCCGACGAAGGCGAAGACGGCCTGATGACTTTCACGATACTGCCATGTGGCTTTCCCCGGAGCGAAACCATCAAATGCCACTTCATCTCTTCAGCTACTGCGCCCTTGTACGAGGAAATGCCAGATATGCTCTATAAGACGTATAAAGTCATCGGCAAGTTCTGCAGTCCCGGTCTCTACAGCAGCATCCACGACATTAAGAGCATCGAACTGGCGAGGAATCCGGAACCTGCTAGTCTGAAGACTGGCATCTGCTGGAAGTTTGAGGGCCGCGTCACCTATGCTTGCATCAAGCCTTTGTTCGAGTCCGTCTTAGTCACGTACCTTGAGGTTGATCGTGATGCACGATTTCCTGTGTACGCCAAATTGTTAGAAGGCGCGCCAATACCAACAGTCGGGAAATTTTATCGTGCCAAGGGTATCACAATCCCGGAAGACGTCCGTGAACATGGTCTAGGAGAGACCACTTATTGAGCTAAATGGCTTGAAAAGCTTCCGGAGCCTAATCCTAGCAAGGCAATCTAGCACAGACACTGATAAGCGAGCAAATTGAATTCTGTGGGAAAAGAGGAGATGACATCTTCAAAAGTTTTATTAATGCCCTAGGGTGGGTTTTGTTGGCATCTTTCTGGAGGAGAAAATATAATACCAACAAAGCATAACCTTGAAAGAAACACGAGCAAGTTTGTGCCACCCATGTCCGTCCCGATTGAAAGCGTATCACGAGCATCTTGAACGCTCTTCAACCTTTTCACACCCCCTTCTCAACATCCGTACTGTAATAGATCCTTTCCATAGTTCCCTAGCGCATTATGTCCAGTCCCGCTCCCAAGCTTCTTCATCAATAACACCCTCGTAGTAGACTTCAACAGGAGGTTCTCCCTCTTCCCATTCTCGTGGCTCCCGCCTTACATCGTACAGGACGACGCTGTGCTTGCCATCGTAATCATTTTCCTCTCCAATGACAGAGTATCGTTCGTGGACGTCCTCGGTAGAGTCCATACAAGGACCGACATGCTGTTGCATTTCAACTCCTACGTCTTTGAAGAAACTCCGGAAGAACGGAGTTTCTTCAATCGGAGCATCTACCAACGCGACATACACTACGATAGCATCGTTGGACAATGGGGGAAAAGATAACGAAGGAGCCTTCTCAGGATCGTGCCGAGCGAAATACATGGCCGCGGAGTTGGCAAAGTTGGCAATGACCTCGCATGCTCGCTCGGAGTATTGGTGGTATGGCCAACCCGTTTTGCCATATTGGTCTGCATCCGATTTCCGCATGATTTTGTCCACCTTCTTTACGCTGACTTTCTTTGATCTGGCTTCTTCGCACACTCTGCAAATCTTGCTGATAACCTCACTGTTACCGTCCATTTTATCCCATGACCGTTCATTAACGATGATACGGGGGACTCGCATTGCTTGCGGGACTCGCTGTGCTTCAACGATAGATTTCATCAGATGTGCAGCCTCCGCACAAATTGCTCGACACGTGAGATGAATGGGCGTTATGGATTCGTAGTTCGTGATGGCAACGTATCGATTCACGAATCGAAAGCGACGTTGGCAATCTGCCGCATATTCGTAGATCATAAGACGCAGCTCCTTTGGTAGATCGAGGAAGCGGTCAAATGACCGGGGCCGACGTGGATTTAGCGCAAGTTCTTCGTAGTACTCCCGTGTGTCTTCGTTCATGTCGTCGCTGTTGCAGGTATCGGAGTGTTCTTCCTCAGAGTCGGACGATGTTGAAGGTGTATCGCGCATGGCTTCAGACCAGATTGCATGAGCCTCAGAACGGATTGCATCAGTCTCAGAACGGATTACAGCAGTCTCAGAACGGATTGCAGCAGTCCTGGAACTAATTACAGTGGTCCCAGAACGGATTACATCATCCCAAGAGAGGGATGCTTCAGTCCTAAAAAGGGATGCATCTCTCCAAGAAAGAGATGTAGCACCCCAAGAAAAAGATGCATCATTCCTAGAAACGGATGCAGCAGTCCTGGAACGGATTGCAGCAGCCCTGTAACGGATTGCAGCGTTCTTAGAACTTATGGCAGCAGTCCTAGAACGGATCGCAACAGTGGTGGTTCTAGAGTTTGAGTCGTTGTCGGAATTCGAGTTGTTGGAAGTCGAGTCGTCGGAAGTTGAGTCGTCGGAAGTTGAGTTGTCGGAAGTTGAGTCGTCGGACATCGAGTCGTCAGTAGAATCCTCACTAATGGTTGCGGGATGGATGGCGGTTAGGTGTCTCAGGAGGAGCGGTCAAGTCCCCTGATGGAACCCAGGCGGCTGTCGCGAGCTAAGGTCATTACATAATCAGAGCCACTCGGGTCTTATTGGTGCCAACCTAACAAGCCAATTTCCGGCCCCACAATCCCGAGGTCTGAGGAAATCTGTAATCTTGGCTCATCAGCGCGGCACGATGCCTGAGGCCATTGAATAAGCGGTTCACAAACCTATGTATGCCTTCTTAGCGCCCGTTCGGTTGCAGTCTGTGTAATGATGGTAGATATTATGACGACACAATCAAACACCGTGATGACAGGCATGAAGTTATCCAACCTGGCTTATTGTTTACATCTAAGACGAGTTAATCTGCACTTTTCTTGGACTCATGATGAACAGGAGTATGGGGATGCCGTACACGATCTAGCTGCCAAAGCCGAGTGCGTCTGGGACAAACGTTAGTTGTTTGACCGCAATGTACATCCCACCACTAAGGATCGTAGGCAATGTAATGTTGCTGAGTAGGATAGCACAACGGTATCCCAGTCGCTACGGATAGCCAGCAACTTCAGATCCATCCATGATAGCGTATGGTTCTTTAGACAACTCTTGTACTTGAGTCATCAGGAAAGTCGCCGAAGGTTCCTTTCCGTAAACATGAATATGAGACCTTGATTGAAAATGGTAATGAATATGTAATTGGTTCTAGCCAGAGGGCTCGCCCAGACTCGGTACATCATATTATTGCTCGCAAGCGATTCACCAAAACCCACTGCCAAAGACCACAACTTCCTACCCGATTGGTTCCCTTATGGGCAAATGATCATGAAACGTAAGGATGCCTGCCTCTTCTTTCGTACGTCAACCCTGTCATGAACGCTATCCGTAGCTCGTAAACCATTGTCCATGCAGCGTTTCCAAGCTGCAACAGCCGCACACCTTGAGAAGCTGGGTCTCTCATGCACAGCAGAGGTTATATCCCGAACTTCGTCCTTGTCATTATCGTCTAGCCGTGCGACTGCCAGAAGAGTGTTATGCTCGCGACTGCTCTACGAGGCATGAGGCTTGCCAGCTGAGTCGGCCTTGGCACGGAGGTCGGCAGCGGTGGAGCCTGTCGCGGAGAAGTAGCGCGAGAAGACGGGCTGAAGGAATGAGCGGAAGACGATCTGGGCACCACTAGGGAGTGTAAGCTTGCATTAATGTGCGCGACGGGGCTGCTACATACGCAGTCTGGGGAAGAGACATCCAGAGGATAAGGACAAACTTGAAGGTGTAGTAGAAGGCTGCGGACGTCAGTTGCGGATCATGCAGACGATCTGGCTGTACTTACGGAACCAGTAGACGGCGTTCACAGCGCTCTCGAAGACGGTCAAGAAGGCAAAGGTAACCCAGTACTGCGGCATCACATTAGCCCCATCCCAAGTTTATTGTGGACACAATTTGGCCAGCTGTCTTGCCAGCGATAAGAAAGCGGGGTACACATACAGTCAACCACTGGGTGTCATCGACCTTGCTGGCGCTGAAGAGAGCCTCGAGCGAGTAGTAACCGGGAATGATGAATCCAGCAATGTTGACGAGGAACTCTCCGGCAATGTTGAAGAAGATGAGGAAGAAGTAGAGACCAGCGAGACCAAGGATCATGTAGACCTTGGGGACCGACGTCTGCTTCTCAAAGTTGTTGAGTGCGGGGTACTTGGACAGCTGGAACACAACATCGTCAGTAAACGTGGCTTCATATCAAAACCATTGCTTTTCCTGTCGGAATCGTCGGGACAAGGCGTATTTTGACAATTGTGCCTTGTGCAGAAGC